TGAAGCAAATGTGAATTTAAACTGATATATTATAGTGAAATCATCAACGGATATTTTACCTTATTCTTAGCTAAATTTTATTTCATTAATATTTTGAATATTCAATATTATAAATAATTAAATCCATTAGCTAACTCAGATATATTCAACTATTTATTTTATTCAATTCAAAATTTAAAAGTTAAAGAAGGTAATAACTATTTTTCAAAATAAAATATAAAAATAAATAGATAATAAATTATAATATTTATATTAAAATCAACTAATATTATTTTCCGTAAAAATCCATTCTTATGACTAACATCTATTTATAGATATATTCCAACTATTATTTTATCTTCAATACAAAAATTTAAAAGTTAAAGAAGCTAATTAACTATTCTTCAAAATAAAATATAAAATTAACATAATAATAAACTTATTATATTTATATTAAAATCAAACTATCATTATTTTTCCGCTACAAAAATTCATTCTTATGACTAACATCTATTATATATATATATATATTATATACTAATATATATGCAAGTATCACTTCATGCCTTGAACATCTAGTTTGGTCTAATTCCATTATATATGCAAGTATCATTATGTTGAACATTAGTTTGGTATTCCATATCATTGGTATCTCCTATAAAATTATTAAATAAAACAAATTAAGTATCATATGCAGTTATACATAAAATAATTATTAAGCCAATAAGAACATATTCTTCTTAGCAAAACCCAAATTTATTAATAGCAAAAATAAATAAATTTTTGATAGCCAAAAGCAATTAAAACTATATATAGATATAGATATAATATAAGACAAAACTTTTCCACAATAGAACTCAAGTTCCTAACTAAAGGAAACAAAACTTCTCAATTATTCCTAAGATATAGTTAATTTAGTATATTTATAATATTCAAATAATATAATTTATAGTATACAAACTAATATATATCAACTTACCTTAATAAAGTTTATTGTAAATAAATATTATTTATACTAATCAAACGTAATAAGAAACTTTAGTAATAAAATAATATAATTAATGCAAATTGTAAATAGTATTTGTGTAATCACTTGATATGGTTTACTATAATTAATTATATATATTTATTATAATCTTATCATGTTTAAAAAATAAATAGTATATAAAATGATATAAATAGTATATAAATGTATATTATTATTTAAAATTAAAAAAACTTTTACTCGCATTTCTTGCCAATAACATCAAATTGCGATAAAAATCTTTATAATTCTATTTACAATTAGCAAAAACTAAAAATCAATCAACAATTAAGAGTGACTAGGTCCATAAAATGATATATTATTTAAAATAAAAAAATTTTACTCGCATTTTGCAATAACATAATTGGATATAAAATTTTATATTTAAATAGAAAAACTAAAAATCAATCAAAATTAAGAGTGATAGGTCCCAGTCAGAACAATGAGGATTTATAAGGAAAATTATATTTGTGCTAGAATAATCCACAAGATATTTTTGGAATAAGCTGTTTCTTTATTCAAGAATTGATGCTTATATAGGCTAAAAAGAAATAACAATCTTCCTAATTATCTGAGATTATCTCTACATATCAGGAATCCTAACAAACTAGTAGTGGCAACAAAATAGCCATTATTATTTAAATAAAAATCAAAGCAACCAATTAACTAACTGGACCTATTCTTCAGCAAGTTTCTTCAAAGATATTTGGGATTTCTCTTAGGCACTCGATGGGATTGAGGTATGGGTTTTAGAGACCTTCATTGGTTTAATATTGCCATGCTAGGTAAAATTGGATGGCATCTTATTGCTAATCCTAACACTTTTTTGTCTAGGGTTCTCAAGGCTAAATATTTTCCGGAGGGAGAGTTCTTAGATACTACCATTAGGAGTAATCCAAGTTTTATTTGGAAGAGTGTCATTTTAAGTAGGGACATATTAAAGCATGGGTGTAGGTGGTCGGTTGGAAATGGGAATAATATTGTTGGAGGAAGAGATCCATGGGTACCTAAAGAGGAGGGGTTTATGGTGGAGGATGGAATGGGCTTTATTGATCCTACTATGAAGGTGCGTGATTTATTTCTTGGGGATAGAAAGGAGTTGGATGCTAATAAGATCATAGAGCTTTTTAGCGTAAGGGATATAAGAGCGATTTTAAATATTCCTCTGGGGGAGAGGGTTGTTGAAGATAATATTATTTGGCATTTTGATAGGAAAGGAGTTTATACGGTAAGATCTGGGTATTTCTTAAGCTTATTAAGGAGGCTCAATAGGGATGGGGAGAGAGTGGAAGGGGAAGTTTGGGGAAGGGTTTGGAAGGTGGATGCACACCCAGAATCAAGGAATTTATTTTGAGAGTGTTAAAAAAAGAGTTGTTCCTACAAGAGTTACATTAAATGAGAGGGGTATAAACATTCTTAGGACTCGTAGTTGGTGCGAGGAGGAGGACGATGTGAAACACATTTTTTTGAGATGCTTTAAACCACAGGAATTATGGCAGGCTATGGGAGTTCATATCCCAAAAAACAGCATGTCAATTTTTGATTTTTTATCGCAGGTACTTGCGTCACAAGACAAGGATCATGTCCTTCTTACTGTTACTGTGCTGTGGAAAATATGGGATGTGAGGAACAAATGAATCTGGCAGCAGGTCCAATGCTCGGCTGGCCAGTTACGACTCAGTACCTAAGGTCAAGTCCAGGATTGGCAGCTCATGCGCGACGCTAGGCAGCAGCAGACTTCGGGAGTACACCACCCAGACTCTCCGATGTCTCAATAGATTCCTGGTGTTGGCATTGTGCATCCGGCGGGTTGGCAACTAATGTGCAACGGTGCAGTTCACAGCTATCTTAACATGGCAGGGTATGGGGCAGTGATAGAAGACGGTGAAGGGGAGTTCTTGGGTGCTATATCGGGTCTCCATGACACCTATAAATGCCCTCTTATTGTTGAAGCTCTTGCTCTAAAAAAGAGCTTAATTTGGATACAAGATAAATACCTTTCTCCTGAATGTATGTATTTACATAGACTCCCAATCCCTCTTATTTGCATTAAACTCCTCTGCTGATGATTTTTCTGAACTAGGTAGTCTTATTAAGGATTGTAGGCACTTACTTTCTTTTAGATCTAATGTGACTATTAGAAGGTGTAGGAGACAACCAATTATAGGTGCCTATACGCTTGCTAGGCAGCCTATAAGTATGCTTGCTCCCAAAAAATGGAATGTTATTCCATGTGAACTGTTTTCTGTTTTTTTCAAGTTAATGAGTAAAAATCTTTCTTGTTTAAAAAAAAAAAAAAAAAAAAAAAAAAAAAAAAAAAAAGAATGTTATTCCATGGAACTGTTTTCTGTTTTTCTTCTCAAGTTAACTGAGTCTAAAAATCTCTTGATTTTCTAAAAAAAAAAAAAAAAAAAAAAAAAAAAAAAAGAAGAAAGAAACAACCAATCAAAAATTAAATTATTTTTATCTCTTCCAACCACTTAAAATTTAAAATCTTTCAAGACTACTTTTTTGTTATCCATTAAACTTTCAATACACGCATTTTGGCTAACCAACATGTTCCTTTAAAAAAAAAAAAAAAAAAAAAAAAAAAAGAAAAAAGAAAACCAATCAAAATTAAATTATTTTATTTTTCCAACCACTAAAATTAAAATCTTTCAAGATATTTTTGTTAATCCATAAATTTAATACAGGCATTTTGGTAACCAAATGTTCCTTTTATCGAACTTTTATATATATACTACAATAATAAATTACAACAAAATAAAATTCATAAGAATAATCAAATCAAGAGCATAGAAAAGTTACATGTACCAATATTCAAAGAAGTAATTTTTATTTCATGCCTTTAATTTCACAATTAATACACGTAAAATATTAAAAGTGTCTTAATATAGAAGATGGTTTTTTATCAGAAATGTTAATCTTTTTTTTAAAAAAAATATAAGAAAGTTAACTTTGTCTATAACATTGCAACAAATATATTGACTTCCTTAGTAGATGAAAATATATTTCGTATGAATTGGGACTAAATAATTCATCCTTTAATATGAAAATCAAAGAAAAGATTTAATTAAATATAAATATATTGAGATTCCTCATTGAGTTTTTTATATAATATTTTTTATTTAAATCTAAATTCTGCTGGATAAAAAGTTTGTATATATTATAGAGTTTATAACTTCCTAATTCATAATAGAGTATGTAACTTCCTATAGTTTTTGGATTAATTAACATCTCTTATATATTTGTATAAATATAATTAGTTTTACAATCTCAATTATTACTGGGAGTGAGCACTCCGTTTAGCCAATCAATTGATTCAGTTAATTCAGCGAATGCATGTTCAGTTAAAAGTCTGATTTACGAAAATTAAAATCTTGGTGATTGGTTAGAAATTCGGTGAAATCTTAATTTAACCCAATTAATCAAATCAATTAACTCTCAAAATTACGTCATTTTAATTAAGTAGATAATAAAATTAAAAATTAAAAATATTTCAGTTTTTATTTTGATTAAACAGTGATTAATAACTTTAGTTAATTTTTATTTCAGTTAAAGTTGATTAATCATAAATTTCGATGAATTCGATCAATTAATTAAGTTTTTCATTTTTTTTAACTTCGATTCAGTTAATGATTAAAATTAATTCAGTTAAAATGGTTCGATTAAATTCAGTTAAGAAATTAATATGGTTAAATTCGATTAAGTCAAAAAAAATTTGGTTAAAAATTTTACTCAAACCGATCAAATTGGCTGAACTCTCATACCAATCAATTACTATTAATATGAGTGTCATGACTCGAAATCATGGGCCGAACCGACACAAGGGCGTAGTAAACTTAAAGCCCCCGAGGCCCGTAGTAAGCCTAAACTACAGAGTCTATACACGCCAAACAAAATCCTAGCAGCAATAAGCCCATATTAAATACCCCTCATTCATAATATGTGTTACTGGTTCATGCATGTATCTAGATAAATAATTAAGACATTCATAAGTCCATAGAATAGTATACCCATATAACTACGCGATTAGAGATATATAAATCCTACAACTGCGGATTCAATAATAACTACAAGTAGTACAGTTCTTATATATAACAATACATAAATTAGTTAATTACGGAAACTAGGAATTTACTTATATAGATCTGCAAAGGTCCCAGAGCTTTAGCCAACTCGACGAGAATCCTACTTCCTGAAAAGTTAAAAAAAAAAAAAAATGAAGAGTGAGTTTTGCAACTCAGTGAATAATAATAAATAATGTATACACAAGCATTTTCACGAAATGCAACCTAAAACACTAAAATAAACATGCAACCAATCAAGCATATGACATAATATCAGCACACACAAGTAATTACAACTTCAAGCAATCAAACAGGTGGAAGTTGGTAAGTGGATTCATCGAAACCCCCGATTAGCCGTCCTCACAAATGGCTCGCTCTCTCAAACGTGTGCACTAGGGAGGCGATCCTCATATATGGCCGACCGGTCTAATCCTCACTTGACCAGCCCTCTCATTTTTCTTATACTCTTTTTTTTTTCATAGCAACAGGCGGCTATCTTATGGTTTTTCATATCTATATCATCAGATGCACACAGGGGAGATCGCGGGGGCGCCGATCTCCCCATATATGGCCAACGGTATCAAAGACCGCCCTCACAAACCCACGGTGACCCACTTCATTCTAATTCCACACGAACAATATATATACAATAATAATAATATGATAATATGAAAAATGAATGTTAAGTTATTATCTATATACATTTCTTTATAAATAAGTGACATGTGTTTGCAATGATGGTATGCACTATCTATTATTACACACGAACAATATATATACAATAATAATAATATGATAATATGAAAAATGAATGTTAAGTTATCATCTATATACATTTCTTTATAAATAAGTGACATGTGTTTGCAATGATGGTATGCACTATCTATTATTACTCAGGAGCAATAGAAGAGCCCGGACGATCTAAAGAATTTAAGAATACAAGGAAGAATTGCATCAGACAAAGAATTAATTTAAAAAAAGAATTAAGAAATTAATTTAATAAATTATCTCCGTATCTAACTATAATAACTAGACTAGATTCTGCCGAAATTTCGGCAACATCTCCTCTAAAAATTGGACTATCCACTTGTTTAAATATCAACAATTTCATTAAATATCCATCCAGTCTACACGGCCCATCCATCAGTCAATCAATCAAATTTATTTTTCCCTTCCTCCAACAAAGTAATAAAATAGTCCCTTGATCATCCATACAAATCGGTTGCTACTAATACAAAAACATTCGTAGCTTAACTAAGATTAAACAAATAAGTAAGAATTATGCGACTAAGTGAAAATGGTTACTTGTTTATCCTCCACACCCGACTATTTTAAACTATCCGATCATATACCCTTAATAATCATGTAAAGTTATAGCTCACATTTCCTTTACCAACATTAACTAAGATCTCAAGTAACAACTTAATAATCCATGAATCACTATCCTCACCAGAAGCAAGATTATAGGTAACGTCCTGTATGAAGCATAACCAAATATGTATACTTTAATTAACCAATTCTCAGAAAGAATTTAATTTATAAACTCAATACACCATAACTTTTCCTTTTTCATTAAACAAAACTTAATCAAAAGAACTAAGTTAGCTGTTGCCACAGTAATAAATAAAAATTCATATTGTTACTCCGTTTCATCACTAGAGCTTTTACATAACAACCATAAAAAAATATGCTTCTATTATCATATATGAACTTAATTAAATCAAAACTATAATTTCTCTAATTGGAACCTGCTGCCATTAATCAAATTCTTAGCTTCTAAAGGGAAGTTGCCTCAAGCACACCAAATCACCCACAAAATCAGAAAATTCATGAATCATAAGGTAAAAAAGGGTCCAAAATCAGTTTACCTAGCTGAAAATTATGTCGGAAGTTGATTACTTTCGATTAAATTAATCGAAAACAGATTCAACGCTCAAGGTTGACTCTTCCGGCGGTGGCTTGGCCGGAGCCAAGGAAAACGGTGGCCAATGAAGTTGCTGGAGACGTTGGAAGGTGCAACCAGCCGATACTTGACAGGTTTCACCGGAAAAAACAAAGAAGATTGGCGAGTCGACTATCCCGATCGCAAAAGATCGCAACTCGCAGCTCCTTAGTTTGCTGCACCAGCAGGAATGGGAAGGAGAGAGGACGGCGAGAAAGAGAGCTAGAGCTTCACCGTCGACTAGAGGGAGGCCACAGTTGGCTGCATGCACTGAAGTCGCCGGAAAATCGAGCTGGAGTGGCGACGCAATTTCCCGATCAGCAAAGTTGCAGGCTTCGTGAGATAGCTGTGCTAGCCGCTTGCCCGAGATAACAGAGGAGAGGGAGAGAGAGAGTAGCAGGGGAACGGCAACGCGAGGCGATGGGATGGCGCTGGCTTCAGGTGATCGAAAAAGCGAAAGGGAAAGGGGGAGGGGTGGAGCTCGGCGCTAATAGGAGAAGAAACTTTTAGGCAGTTTGGTTTAGGTTTCCAGGAAATGGTTTGGTTTGATTCAGGACTGGTTTGGTTCGATTCAGAGTCTTTGTTTGGGTTTCCTTTCAGTTTGTTGGCTTTTCAATTGGTTTAATTAACTCTTTAGGTTTGATTTAACTACATAAAATGTATAATTGAATTTAACTGATTAAATAAATCCATAGGATGTTAATTTATTAAATTTTTAAATATAATAAGTTTTATAACGCCATTGGCTAGGATTAATAATTAAATTTTTAAATGAAAAATTTTTTAAAATAAAATTCGGGGTTGTTTCAAAGAGAATAATTGATTAACATTTAATTAAAAACTAGTTGAAGGCCTGCATTTATAATTCATATTACATTTTAAATGCATTTAATAATTAGTAAGGCAGATGATGCTTGTTTCAAATTCTATTATTGCTAATGTTTGGATAAAACTATTAAAGAAATGCAAAGACAAAATTGTAAATTGTAAAATTATAAAATTTTAAAATAGAAAAAATAAAGACACCCACAATATTACTGATTAGGTAAAAGATAGAAGACAACTCTAAAAATCACAATACACAAAACACCAAAAATAAAAATGATAAAATCTTAATCAATTACTAAAGCATGTAAAATAAATATATAGAAAATAGAAGGATCTCCTTTAATACCTAGGAATGGAGATAGAAATTTCGGTACATCTTAATATTCCTCTTCAAAATTTTGTACACCTTGAAAATGTAAGCTAGCTCTTAGTTTTCCTCATCACCATCCAGTTTCTTCAATCCCTTAGTCTTGGTGTAGTAACAAAAATTAAGGAGAACATAACAAAAGAAACATAAAAGATTAGTAAGTGATTTTGGGATTGCAAACGAAACATAAAAAGATTGGTAAGTGATTTCAGGATTGCACCATACTACTCTTGGATATTATTTCCTCATACAATAAAAGTTGCAAATTTGCATTAATATGGATATACATCAGTTCCCACCAGTATGCGATGCTCTTAACCATAAGAAATAACTAATTAGTATTAAAGAATAGAATGGTGAATTAATAAGAAAATCTTGATATAGAGTTTGAATTTATAATATGTGAATTTTCATAGAGATAGAATGATTTATGAGTTTAAAATTTTAAAATCTTTAAAATGTTTTTTGTTGTAGATTATCTATATAGATAAATTTGCAAATTTTATAAAGAAAATTTTATAAAAAAAGTTAAAAAATGTTATGAAAGTGCATTAAAAATTAGAAAATTTCTAAAAAAAAAAAGAAAAAGAGAATGCTCAAAAGTAGAGTGCCGCATTAGCATTTTAAAAATAATTTTGTTGGCTCAAGGGTCAATCACTACAAAAAAAAAAAGCGTTTTTCCAACCGACGTAAGTCGGTTGCAATATTGCGATGATATTGCAACCAATTGTAATGATTGGGAGATTGAATATCCACAAAATTTGCGACAGAATTGCGACCGAGAGCAGATCCGTCGCTAATTCTAGTACTATTAACTCCCGCTAGTTTGGTTTCCGTTTTGCTATCCATTTGCGACTAATTTGCGAACGAATTTGTGACGGATTTGTAACCGCTTCAAAGTTCGTCTCAAAATTGCGCGCTGCAGCTCAGCGCCAAATTTAGTTTTCGGTTTACAAGGGATTATGACCGATTTGCAACCGACTTTGTGATTGATTATTCTGGTTGCAATTTGTTTGACAACAAAATGACATCGCAGGATTAAAAATTGCGAACAATTTTTTAAAAAATAGGGCTTGATAACCCGTTAGTCGCCTGCGTGAGCACATTAGCTCCTTCTTCTTCTCCTCTCTGTTGCAACACCGTTTCCAGCTGCCTCCTTGTCCACTCTGTTGCAGCGCTAGTCATCGGAGAAGCCCCTCTCGCCAGAGATTACACCTTCTTTGCTGGTCAAGTAGGTCGCCTTAGTCTGTGTTTTTTTGTTTTTTGTTTTTTGGTTTTTGTTTTGTGTTTTTTGTTTTTTGTTTTGTGTTTTTTATTTTGTATGAATCTTGACTTGTTGTTGGTTGTAATTTTTAATGGTAATACATTTTTTGTTGTAAGTAGGATTTGTTGGAAATAGAAAATGACCTTAAGTATGAAAATTATAAAGAATAATGCACAATTATTAGAAATAATTGTACTTTGTAACAAAAAAAAAAATTAATGAATGTTTGGGGTTAAAACATTAGTTATCGTATTGAAATAATTATAATTTGTAACAAAAAAATTTAATGAGTGTATTTTATAACACTAGTTATAGTATTGAAATAATTATAATTTGTAACTAAAAAAAATTAATGACTGTAATTTATAACACTAGTTATAGTATTGAAATAAGCTATAGTATTGAAATAATTATAATTTGTAACTAAAAAAAATTAATGACTGTGATTTATAACACTAGTTATAGTATTGAAATAAGTTATATTATTCAAATAATTGTAATTTGTAACAAAAAAAAATTAATGAGTGTAATTTAGTTTATAGGATTGAAATAAGCATATATTGTTATTTTATTTATTTATATTATTTTTTGTTGGTTTTATAATTTGTGTAAACTAATATATATATATATTATGACTATTATTATAGCATCTTATTGTGGGTACACTAGTTATAGTATTGAAATAAGTTATATTATTCAAATAATTGTAATTTGTAACAAAAAAAAATTAATGAGTGTAATTTATAACACTAGTTATAGATTGAAATAATTGTAATTTGTAACAAAAAAAAAATAGTGACTGTAATTTATAACACTAGTTATAGTATTAAAATAATTGTAATTTTAACTAAAAAAAATTAATGAGTGTAATTTAATAGTAATCAAAATTTATACTCATCAAATTTAAAAAACCTAATTTGTGATGATGTATTGAAATTTATTTATTTGAAATTACTTTATGTTGATGTATGTTTTTATTTGAGTGGAAATCACATGAATAATGCGTTTGAGTTGGAGGCCTAGTAGTGGCCGTTTTGACTTTAAAGAATGTTGGGATTATATAGAAGTGTTTATGTGAGTGTGTTTTGACTTGAGATTTGATAATGTTATGCCGAAGTGCTGCCGAAATTTTTTTAAAAACTGAATATGAGGAATTGTACAGTTACTGATATTATACTAAGTTTACATATAGATATATATATATATCCTTAGTTAGAAATAATAACCTTAGTGAGTTTACAACATATATAATTACCCTTATTATAGAAATAACCTTAGTAAGTTAGAAATGTATATGGAACATTACTTTTGGTTTATTTTAAGGATGATTTAAGACTAATGCAATTACATATAATTTGCCCTTTATAAACAGAGTGTTAATAACGTAAAAAAAATGCGGACTAATCGAGATTGGATGTACTGGAGGTACAAGGTCAATGGGTTATTAAGAAATGAATTCTTGCAAGGATTGGAATTGTTTATAGAGTTGCAGTTGGTAATCCTAGTTGTATGGATGGTAATAAGTTGAGGTGTCCATGTAATCACAAGAAGTGTCAAAATAGAGCCTTTTTAGATATAGATACAATTACACTTCATTTATGCAAATATGGGTTCGTGGAAAATAATTATGAATGGATACATTATGGTGAACCTCGAGTTTCCAGTGGGTCAGGCCACTCTATTTCTATAAGTTCAGAGTACTCGATGCGGGTAGAGCAGAATTCCATTGGGACAATATGGAGGAATAGTCAAACTTGCAGCACAACAATTGTTTGACATGCTAAGTGCAGCTAACTGTGAACTGTGTCCTAGATGCAAGAATCATTCAGTTCTATCTGTAGTGGCATGATTACTGCACATGAAAGCGGAGCACCATTTTTTAGAAAGATGTTACGATGATTTTGTATACTTATCAAAAGAAATATTGCCTGAAGGCCATTCAATGGTGGATAATCTTTATCGGACAAAAAAATTAGTTCGGGGATTAGGACTACCCATGGAAAAGATTGATTGTTGTCAAAATAATTGTATGATATGTTGGGGTGTTGACTCCGAATTAAGAGAATGCAAGTTTTGTAATCTTCTAAGATATCAACAGCGGGATGAAGGTGCTGGTAGATTACAAAGAGAGAGGGCTTTCAAGAAGATGTATTATTTCCCTCTTGTTCTCGCCTTCAAAGGTTATATGCATTTAAGGCAACAGTTGAACACATGAGATGGCATGCTTTGCATGAATATGAGGATGGTATAATGACTCATCCGTTAGACTTTAAAGCTTGGAAACACTTTGATAATAATCATCCTATGTTTGCTGCTAAGATGATAAATGTGAGATTGGGGCTTTGTACTGATGGGTTTCAGCCGTTTGGCCAATCAGGACAACAATATTCATCATTTCCTGTCATTGTCACACCATAGAATATACCACCCTCAATGTGTATGAAAGATGAATACATATTTTTGTGTGTCATTGTACTTGGCCCTAATAATCCAAAATATAAAATTGATGTGTTTCTACAACCTTTGCTTACCGAACTTAATTATTTATGGGAGTATGGGGTTGAAGCATTTGATATTTTGGCCAATCAGAATTTTATAATGCGAGTTGCTTTGCTTTGGACCATTAGTGATTTTCTAGCATTTGGAATGTTATATGGGTGGAGTACAGCAGGCAAATTGGCTTGTCCTCATTACATGGAAAACACTAATGCACTTACATTAAAAAATGGAGGTAAACAATGTTGGTTTGATTGCCATCTTAAATTCTTACCAGAATCTCACCCTTAGGGGCGAAATCGATAATGCCTTGGAAAAAACACAACTATTACTGATCCCCTCTACCTGTGAAGTCTGGAGCTGAAATATTATAAGAAATTGATACAGAGTTAGGTGTAGAAGAGGTAAATGGTAGAATTGGCCAGAATAGCGGATGGAAAAAGCAAAGCATCTTCTGGGATTTGCCATACTGGAGTTCACTTCTTATCCGTCATAACCTTTATATGATGAACATAGAAAATAATGTGTTTGAAAATATGTTCAACACTGTCATGAACATTGAGGGAAGATCCAAGGATAATGCAAAAGTGAGAGCAGACATGACAAAATTTATTGTCGACCAGAACTCGAACAATCTGTGGTTACTGGAAAGTTTCCAAAGTCATGTTATTCTTT